ATGTCCATAGGGATGCCAGCAAGTGCGTGATGAGGACTGGGTGAGTTCCGCGTCCTGCCGTCAGGTGGCGGCACGTCCGCAGAGTAATGTGGCTGAGGATGATGATGATGGTGGTGATGGTGCCCGTGGTGGTGGTGGAGGTGGTGATGGTGCAAGTGGTGCAGGTGATGCGATGGTTGAGGCGGTGGAGCCGATGGTAAAGGCGGGTGAGAAAGTGGTGGTTGAGGAGGTGGAGAAACGATTCCAGGGGAGGAGAAATGCTGACGATGGCCATGGCGAGAGTTGCCAACGGAGTCTTGGAACTGATGGTGCTGCTGCGGTTTCACGGGCTGCTGCAAAAAAAGATAAAAGCAAAAAATAACATTAATTACGGAAAACCTCACTCCAAATTTGCATCAAGAACAATGAAATAACCACTAGAAACCATTTTCTTTCTAATCAGCACCAAAGAAAGAAGTTTGGCGCATTCATGGCTGACTCCACACATAGGTGTCGCTCCAAAATAAGAAAGTTGAACTATGCTTCAGAACAATTATAGCAGTTATTCTGGTGTTTTTTTCTCTAAACTTAACATGATTTCAAGTATACTTCACCATTTTCAATGAAAAATTCTGATAATTATCAATCAAAACCTCAATTGACTCCACAACAAGAAAAAGCATGATATATATAATGGTTGAGTAATAGTATGGATTCATAATACTTCACAGTATTTTAAATAAATTGAATTACCTGTTCAGGTTCGAAATGAGCAACACTTTCAGGAGAAGCAGCCATCATTCCATGGTTGGACGCAGGCGGTGAACTTGACAATAAACTGCCTTCTCCATCAGTTCCATTGTCGCAGCTTTCATATTTCCCTGGAAATTTGAAATATAAATAAGATGTAAGTTGGTTTCTTTATATATTTTTTGAATTAAACCATTCTTTACAATATTGAAAACAGCGAACACGTTGTAATTGAAGAAGAAATGCAGACCCAAGCCCCATAAATGTCTCAATTTTTTTGTTCAACCTATAAGTTCATGTTTCAATTAGTTTTTGCTTCAAAAAAACTCAAATGCAAGTTGAACAAGAAAAAATGAAAATATCTACGATATAATCATCATTGAGCATACCTTTCTCTTAAATTTCATCCTTCTCTTCAATTTATGCACAGAATTCCAATTAATTCTCATCTGACAAAAATATTTGTTCATTTTAGAGTGTGTGTAACAGAAATAAGTGAATGCAGTACATATATACATGTACCCAATTTTTTGAAGAAGCGCAGTGTATGCATAAGGCATACACTTTTGTGAGCATAAAAAATTTATGTTTAGAAGATATGAATATTTTTTTCACACATTGCTTTTGGCGGATTTATGTTTATTCTGCCTCCCACACTATAATGATTTCAATTTTTGAAATACTGTAATTTTTTATTTGTTGGGAGTTATTTTTCCATGCTTACTTCAATGCAGATAATTCTTATTATTTGGCGTCAGAGTAAGAAGAAACTCACCATTGCTGTAATCGTATCCAGGAGGATAGAAACCAGGGATGCCACTCGCAGGTGGAGAACGCTGCATCACAAACTCATCCTCAGCTGTGA